AAAAAAAAAAAAAAAAGTGTCACTCCAATAGTTGTCACAAAAGACCACATCTTATAAAATATACAGAAAGAATACAAGAGTTCTTCCAACAGAAGCTACACAATCCGTGCAGGCCCGACAGAGCTGGGTCCCAGGTATTAGGACCCTGAAACTGGTTAGGGTGCCTCAAGAGCTAGGGCGGTTTGCACAGCACATGGTCCAGGAACAGACATCACACTATAGTGGCTTCCTGTCTTTTGGGTGCAGAGCTGAGAGCTTTCCCTGAGTGGAGATGACAACAGAATATTCAGGGACCCTGAGATAGCAGATGTAGGTGGGTGAGAGACCATGGCAGCCAGCAGGAACCTCAGTGTGGGCAGCAAAGGGGGTTATAGTGATCCTGAAGGCCAGGAGGAACTATGGAAGGGTTGTAATGGTGAAGAGAAGTCTCCTTTGGAAAGATCTCTGGTACTTAGTGTGGAGAAAGAACTGAAAGTTGGGAGACTGGTTCCGGCAGGAGGAGGAAGAGGGGGGACATAGGGCTGAAAGCTCAAGAGTGTCTTCTCCAAAAAGAGCCAGTTTGATTTATAAGACTGAAACATGTCAGTATTTGGCAAGATGGATAGAGAAGGCAGAGAAGGTTGTTAAAGGTGAGAGTAGTGAGACTTTGGCTGATACTTTTCTGCAAACTGTCACTCTTTGCCCAGGTCAGAGCCCTAGGCTCACAGATGCATGGTCACCATAGCATGAAGAATGACTTTATAGAAAGTGGTGTGTGTGCAGTTCCATGAGAACATGAGGGACACCCCAGGCAGGAGGGGGATGAAGCAGTACACAATAGGCAGTGGAGGCTTCATGCAGAGGGGGAGACCAGAGCTGAGTTGAAGAGTTAGCAAGAATTAACCACATGAAGAGGAAAGAATGTGTTGTCGGGTGAGACAAATGACCCAGTGGAGTATGATCATGAACTTTTGTTTTATGTGACCTGCAAGTGTACATAGTTAAATATACTCTCTCATCAGAGAGAGTATTTCTCTGCATAGAGACAGTTAATCAATTGACTTTTTATGAATATTATAAACACCCGAGAAGCCATCATCCAAGATAAAAGTTCAGACCTTGGGCCAATGTAGTGGCTCATGCCTGTACTCTTAGCACTCTGGGCAGCCAAGGCAGGTGGATTGCTTGAGTTCAGGAGGTCAAGACCAGCCTGAGCAAGAGTGAGGCCTCGTCTCTACTAAAAATAGAAAAACTACCTGGGCCTGGTGCCAGGCACCTGTAGTCCCAACTACTCTAAGAGGTTAAGGACTGAAAATGAAGTATTATTCTGACAACTGGTGTATCGGCCCCCTGAATGGGCTTCTCCCTGTCCAGTTCTTGGCACCAAAATGAGAGGCTGAGGATGGAAAATGAGAGATTATTCCAAGACACAAACAAAAGGAAGCAGAGTCCAGGTTCTGTGTGGGCAGTGTGGCCTTTATTTCACTCAGGTGCAAGTGGGCTGAGTCCGAAAAAGAAGTCAACACATGGGTTAAGGCAGATAGGAATATAAGAGCTGGGGGGTAGGGACTGGCACATTTATTCCTTTCTGGGCAAGATGTTCTTTCTTGGGAGAGACAGTTCTATTTGGCCGGGTCCCTACATTCAGCCCTATCATACTAGGGAGGCTGAGGCAAGAGGATCACTTGAACCCCCAAAATTAACCTTAGGGTGACAGAGACTCTGTCTCAAAAAAAAAAAAAAAAAAGTTTAGACCTTGATAAAAACCTGCAGCTATCCTTATGTTTGCCCTACTCTCTCGGTACCTCCCACCCAGAAGTCCCATTTTTTTCTTAAGACAGAGCCTCACCCTTTTGCTCAGGGTAGAGTGCTGTGTCAACAGCCTACCTCATGGCAACCTCAAACACCTGGGCTTAAGTGATACTTCTGCCTCAGTCTCCAGATTAGCTGAGACTACAGGTACCTGCCACAACACCTGGCTGGTTTTTCTGTTTTTAATAAATACGCATCTTGCTTTTGCTTGGGCTAGTCTTAAACTCCTGGCCTCAAACCATCCTCCTGCCTTGGCCTCCCAAAGTCTTAGGATTAAAGGTGTGAGCTACTGTGCCCAGCCCCATGTTCTTTATTTTGCTTGTGTTTTAAATTTATAGGAAGTCTATCATGCTATATGTACTTTTAGAAATTTTTTTCACTTAACATATTACTAATAGTCATTCACATTGCTTGTCACTGAAGTCCATTTGCTTTGACTGATTTATTAAATATTCTATAGTCTACTCATCCATTCCTATTGATGTGTTCTGAGGTGGTTCCATACTTTTTGTAATTATGAACAGTGCTTCTATTAACAATTTTTATAAGTCATTGCTGTGTATGTGCAAGAGTTTTTCCTAGGACTGTACCTAAGAGTGCAATGGCTGGCTCCTGTGGTGTGTTCACCCTTAATTCTAAGAGGTAATGACATGTGTTCCAAAGGAGTTCACAAATTAATACCCCTCACCATCAATGTGTGTGTATCCTCTGTAACACCTTTAATTTTTGCCAGTCCGATGGAGTGTAAAATAGTAGTTTATGTGGCCTGGATTTGCCATTCCCTGGCTTCAAATTATATGAAGCATCTCTTCATCTGTTTATTGGCCATGTTTCCTGTTCTGTGAAATGCCTGTTTGTGTCTTTTGCCCATTTTTGGATTGAGTTACAAGTGCCTTTCTTATGTATTTGTGAGGATTTTTTGTTGTTGTTATTTGGTTTTTGAGGTCTTACTTGGTTGACCTGGGGGTGTCATCATATGGCTCATACCAACCTCAAACTCCTGGATTCCAGCAATCCTCCTGCCTCAGCCTCCCATGAGGCTGGAACTACATCACCTGCCATAGCTCCTGGCTAGTTTTTCTATTTTTAGTAGAGACAGAGTCGCATTATTTATTTTATTTCTTTTTTCTTTTTAGAGACAGTCTCACTTTTGTCTCCCTCAGTACAGTGCCGTGGCATTATAGCTCACAGTAGTCTCCAACTGCTTGGCTTAGATGATTCACTTGTCTCAGCCTCCCGAGTAGCTGGGACTACAGGCACCCACCACAACGCCTGAGTATTTTTTTGTTGCAGTTTGGCCCGGGCCGAGTTTGAACCCACCACCCTCAATGTATATGTGGCTGGTGCGCTGAGTACACTGAGCACAGGCACCACCCCAGGGTCTCACTTGCTTAGGCTGGTCTTGAACTCCCGAGCTTAAGCAATCCACCTGCCTCAGCCTCCCAGAGTCCTAGGATTACAGGCGTGAGTCACTATGCCCAGCCTACTTGTGAGAGTTTTGTGTGTCTGTATATCTTTTTTTTTTTTTTTTTTT